CCCTGGACTCATAGCTTTAACCATAGCTGTCACTGTCTGAGGAGTGATAGAGTTGGTATATCTCACTTTCCAAGAACCACCTGCCCTCTAAGTCTCCAGAAAGGGAGAATGAAAAGAATGGAGGCACAACGAAGAGCTTCCCATAAAGGCACAAAGATCAAGAATCACAGAAGCAGGTTCTAAGAGGGTTGAGTTATATCCTAAAGCTCTCCATTCATCTGAGCCCAGTCTTGGGGGCTGATAGCAGCAGTATCTCATTGTCTGGGACAGAAGTACCTGAGGAGAGAAGCCTAACTGCTGGTCTTTCAGGAAATAATAGTGGCTGTTAGGAAAAGGCTTCAGAAAACCATCAAGGACTGAGGTATAGAAAACTGCATCTGACTAGTTGGTTGCTAGACCATATACAGATTGCTGGTTCAAAACATAATGGAGAACCAAAGTTCATCCTGCATTAGTAGAGATGGGGAAGACATTAGAGAGGAGTGAAAGGAGCTCATGGACATGGATCCCAGAACAGGAAGATGTGGGATTGAGGAAAGGTAAGTCAGGCTATGGTGGCATCCTGTGTCATTGGGTGGCCTTCCAGTTTCTTAGCAAGAAAGAGTGAGCAAAGAAGGTCTCAAAGCCACCCTTTCCCAGGACTTAGGTTAACAATACCATCACCATCCCTGTGTTTGTGAGGTTGCTGAGAATAGGAACAGGTTTTATTCTCTTGGTAACTCACTGAGACATAAGGACAGTGGGACACATCTACGTGGTAACTGGGTTTTAGAAGAGAGGTTGAAAAAAGACTCTGATGCCCTAGGTCAGGCGGCCTCAAACTACGGCCCACGGGCCACATGCAGACCACCTAGGACATTCATTCAGCCCACCGTGTGTTTTTGCCACCACTGCCTGTCCTGCTTAGCAAGCCACTCCTGCCGGGGCCTGCAGTCCAGCCTCCAATAGTCTGAGGGACAGTGAACTGGACCCATGTTTAAAAAGTTTGAGGACCCCTGCCCTAGGTTCATACACCTATGGTTGTAAGCTGGCCACAATGTATTCCCTACAAATCCCATTTCCCTCTCAGCCCCAGAAGCCTCACCCACCTACCTCCTCAGCAAAATTGTGCACACCCATGTACACATGTGCGTCTGTGTGTGTGTCTCTGTGTGTTTATTCCCAGACAGGTGGACAAAATGGCACATCTCCATGGGCTGGAAATAGATATACTGATTCCTCTATCCCCAAAGCCTGGGAGGGTTTTTTGTTTGTGTGTTTGTTTCTTTTTTATTGTTTCAAGTTAATTGTGGGTAGAAAGAATTAGGTTACAGTGTTTGCATTTGTTAGGCAAACTCCCTCCTGTAATTGTGACCCACCTCCAGACACCCTAACATTGTGTCCATTAAGTGGGAGCACACCCTTACCCATCCCCCCTTCTCTGCATGCTTCTTCATTCCTCCACTCCCCACTTTGAACTGAGTTGAGTTTTTCTCTTATTTGACCATGTATCAGAGCCTGGGAGATTTTAATAAAAACTACCTCTCTCTTTCCCTTGACACCAAAGAGGAAGGTTGAGAAACAGAAATCCACAATTCACAAAGAGTTTGTGAAGCAGAAAAATTTCCTAGCTAAAGAAGAACAGAGACAGCTGCAGGAGCTGGGGAAGAATGAGAGAGAACAGCTGAGACTCCTGGGGAACGCACAGGCTAAGCTGAACCAGCAGAGGCAGAACCTGCAGAAGCTGATCTCAGAGGTGGAGCACAGGAGCCACAGCTCACCACTGGAGCTGCTGCAGGTGAGAGGAGGATGGAGGCCCCTTCTGAGATGCAAGGAGTAACTGAAAAAAAGCCAGAGCTAGTTGGAACTACCCTTAGAACCTCGTCCCGGGAATAGACAGTCTTAAATATACTGGAATTCAGACCTGTGAATGGTTTGCATTCAAGGCATAGAAGGGTTCCGATTTAGGAGGGAATAGTCCATTCAGCAATTAACAGAAATGGCCAGCCCTGGGAAGTACTTTCTGGAATGTATACCAGGTGTGAGCCTTCAAGAACGTTTCGCAGTCTTTCTGAGCACCCACTTTCTCATCTGTTAAATTGATATTTCAAAGGATTTTCATGAAGATGGAGTGACAAAATCACCTCTTAGGAGAGTGTCTGGTCATGAAAAGATTTTTAAATAGGGCAGTGCCTGTGGCTCAAAGGAGTAGGAGCTGGGCCCAAATACCAGAGGTGGTAAGTTGAAACCTAGCCCTGGCCAAAAACTACCAAAAAAAGAAAAGAAAAGGTTTTTAAATAAATGTAATATATCTAAAAACACTGAACTGAAAACTAAGAGACAGTAACCAAGCCCAGATCCTGCTACCAATTCTCTCCATAACTCAGGGTTAAGTCATTTTCCTTTCTTGGACCTAATGTCTCTGTCAGTGAAACGAGAGATGGAATGAACGAAATGACAAGAGTTGCCCAAACTTTAGTCCAAAAAGTATCTTCATGCTTTCTGCTACTTCTATGAACTCTCTTTGTGATTTTAACATGTTGCTTTCTTTAAATTGTCTTACTCCTTTCCCTGAATAAATTTAGTTTAAAAGGAAATGTCTTTAAAGCAATAGGACCTAAGAAATCATGTGTTTATGTGTTACTGACATTTTTCCTAATTCATTTCATAACAATAATGTTAATATTAACTATAAATGTGTAAACAGCCCATATTGCCTGACAGGTATTCAGGTGAGTACTACTATCCTCTCTGTGTTTCATAGATGACAAGACCAAGAGGCAGAGATATTGAAACGTAGAGACTAAAACTAAATAACTTGAGCAAGTTCCTTTATAGATTTAGATTAAAGTAAATACATAAAAATCATCAATATTGTTGTACTTCAAGTCACCTCACATCCACCATTGACATATTTGCCTCACTTTGGGAATCTAGGAACCAAATGTTCTCAGAAGTCCCTTCTGTAATATCCTACAGTTCTTCTTCCCATATCTTTTCACTGTCTCTGCCAGATGTAGGCATGAAGCCATTTCTATCTGGTTTGTGCATAAAAAGCTGATTGTATTGGGCTTTCTTCTGGCCAACAATGAACCCGGCTTTCTCAAGCACTTCCAACTGAGCCTTGGAGCCTGCCAGCTCCCATGTAAGGGCCCTGAAACCCTGCAACAGAATATTCTCAGGTGATTTGATTTCTTATACAGGACAAAATGCATTAAATATAGCTCAGAACAGTGCTCTAACCAACCCTTGTTCCCCCAAACAACTCAAGCCTTCAAGTGAGGTATAGAGTAGGTTCTTCTTATCATCCTACTTGGCCATTCTCTCCCTGTGATCTGTGGACTTCAACCAGCCAGGGTTCTTTGTGTATTGTACCCCCATCCTTACCTTCCCCTACCCCTAAGAATCTGGGCTTTCTGGGTAAGAGTCTAGAAACTGATAATCCTTCCCTAGCTATAGATCACACCCACATTGGGTCTCTGGTGATTTCCCAAATATCCTCACCTCTTTTCTGCTGCAAACTGGTCAGAATCATCTTTTGGGCCCTGACCCAGAGGTAAGGGAAGGGTAGTGTTCCAGGGACCATGGGAAATGTCACATCACCCACAGGGTGGAAGTCTCAGTGGTGTACCACAATCTCTAGAACTTATTCTCTGTCTCTTTTCTCCTCAGGAGGTGAAAATTGTCCTGGAAAGGTAAGGAAAAAAAAATTATTTTTGTTAGAAGAGGGGCTGGCAAGAAGCAAAGACCTATAAAAAAGGTTACTGAGTTATAAATACATACCCTGAAGTTTTCCCCATCCCACTCCCTTTTCTCAATGATCTGACCCTCTTTGTCAGTGTTTTTCAATCTTTTTATCTCACAGCACACTTGAACCTGTAGTTAAACTTCCCTGGCACATTTAAATTATGTTGATAAAAAACATTTTTTTTCTTAGCATACCTAAGATCCTCTCATGGCACACCAGTTGAAAATCACAGCTCTACACAGTGTAAAATAGTTTCTGGTCTCAGAAAGCTACTACATGGACTTCTCAGTTGATGACACTGCCCAACGTCATTGGGCCTTAACATCTTACACAGTAAAGCCCTGTCAGATAGGAAATTCTGGGAAGTTCTAGGTCTACAGATTGCTGGGAGTTCTTCTTTAGCTGGAACTTAACCAGTTACAAACCTCTTATAAAAAGCCACCATAAGACTCACAGCACGGGCAAGACTCCTTGAGTTTCCTTGCAGAAGTAATTCACCTGGGTCAGATGCCTTGCCTGTGAAACGAAACAGAATGTACTTGCACAATGACCTCAGGCTTACAGAAGACACACAAGAGTTCTCATGCTGCAGAGCCTCTTGTAACCAAGAGCTGCTGTATAGGAACTAAATCCTACATTTTTTGCCTCTCCCCCTGAGCCCCAGAGACCTGAACACAAGAGGTACTTGTGAAGTTGAGTTGAATTTAAATTATCAGAGATTCTAGTGTTAGCATTTGAGGTAGGAGGCAGGAGTAGAAGGAAGGGATCTCAAACTCTCTTTCCTTTAGGAGTGAGTCCTGGAACCTGAAGGAGCTGGATATTGTCTCCCCAAAGCTGAGGAGTATGTGCCATGTGCCAGGAGTGAAGAAGATGCTGAGGACGAGTGCAGGTGAGGCCAGCTCTTGGAGCTGTGGGGTGGGGATGTTGGGGATACTGAGGGTGCAGGTTGGGTCCCAGGGTTCAAGAGAATGACAATGGACAGCATCTCAGAGAAGTGGCAGGCTGGAGTAAGTGGGGCAGAGCCAGAGGTAGGGAAGATGGTTCCCTCAAAGGTCCAGACAAAGGCTGACCTGATTGAGGGTCTCTTTCTCACATGGTGAGGTTCAGGGTCACCCCCTCACCCTCCCCCTGATATTTGCACAGATCTCTCACCATGAGCATGGAGTTACCGATTTCCCCCACATGAGTCCTGACTGTGGTTCCCTCTCTACAGTGCACATCACTCTGGATCCAAACACAGCCAACTCGTGGCTCATCCTTTCAAAGAACCGGAAACAAGTGAGGCTGGGAAACACTCAGCAGGAGGTGTCTCAGAATGAAGAGAGGTTTGATAATTATCCCATGGTTCTGAGTGTGGAGTCCTTCCACTCTGGAAAACGTTACTGGGAGGTAGATGTGACTGGAAAGGAGGCCTGGGACCTGGGGGTTTGTAGCGATTCAGCACAAAGGAGGGGAATTTTTCTACGCAACTCTGATAGTGGCTTCTGGACAATTGGGTTGTGGAGCAAACACAGATATGAGGCTAGCACCTACCCCGTGACTTCCCTCCACCTTCAGGTGGCTCCACGTCGAGTTGGGATTTTCCTAGACTATGAGGCCGGCACTGTCTCCTTCTACAACATCACTGACCATGGCTCCCTCATCTTCATCTTCTCTGAATGTGCCTTCACTGGACCTCTACGGGCCTTCTTCAGTACTGGTTTCAATGACAATGGAAGAAACGCAGCCCCTCTGACCCTCTTTCCCTGAAGATTAAACAATAGGGACCCACTAACTGTTGATGGGGCTCTCTGGGCACTGCCACCCTCCCCATTGGAACCCCTTCTCAGCCTCAGACATGCCCTTTTTTCTCATGAGCTGTGAACCACATTTGTCTCTACAGAGGCATCAGGATCCCAGCCAGCAGGCTTTAGTGGCAAGGTCTCTTCAATACCAATATTCCTGCCCCCTATTGCTTTCTGATTCTCTCCAGGATCAACCAAAAATGTGATCCTTCCTTCTTCATGTGACTTCAGTTTTGTTCACTCCTCTCTATCTCTAGGTTGTTGCCTTCGGTCCAATCTCTATTATATCTTGGACGGTTTGCAAGGGCTTACTGAAAAACTGGTACTTTAATCTATCCCATTCTGTCCTTCTTCCTTAATCTTGAAATAATTGACAGCTCTGAATATAATTAATAATGATGTATCTACAACATTGTTTGTGGTGTTTCTGCCTGGACTGCCTCCCCACCCATCAGCATCTACATTTGGAAGTTTTGGCTGGGACAGAAGACCCTGGTTGAGAGTCTGTTGCGTAACTCCCCACAGCAGCCATTGTGACAGCAGCCATGTGACTCTTATCACTGCCTGAGTGCGTGCTACCCCCTCACTGTAAGGGATCTACTGTTTTTGAAAGATAAAAGTTCTTCTGGGGCTGGTATAGCTCTCTGGACTTCTGCCTCTTTGACCCTCACAGATGTGCGACACCTTCTGTCATTGTCTTTAGTAGGTGACCAGATGATCAACACAATCCAACTTCCTGGATCCAAGTTCCTAGAGGGTCAAGGCTGGGGTGCCCCCTGCTTTGTGTCTCCTTGACAACTGGCAAACTCCTGTGCCCCTTAAAACATCCCACTGTAATATCAATCCCCTATGAAATGTCCCTTTCTTGGGCAAATTTTTCTGACTATTCCAGAATAATAAATGTTATATCCACTAAAGGATCCCAGAGAAGGGTGTGTGTGCAGGGCTATGTCATGTCCCCAATTTTCATGAAGGGATTTGGAGCCTGGAAAAAGGTATCTGTCAACATGTGTTCCAAGGCACCAGGTAAAGCCATCAGTACTACAAAGAAAGAACCCAGTTTGTCTTCCGGAAGCTTTCAGAAGACAAAGTATCTGGTCATCCAGGGTGAGGGGAGAACATGAGTGAAAGAAAGATAGTGAAGGTGGTTTCACCCTTCCTCTGGATGACCAGGCTACCTCCTCTCAAACACCTGCCCC